TAAATTACAGTGGTGCCGTAAGGCCCACCAAGTAGTTTTAATTTATAGACTTTAGCAACACCATTTCTCAACCTTTAAAAGAAAGTCCCAGCCTTCTACGTGTTATACCAAGTGTTCTACACGTGTCTGTTTGCTGCCTGTGTAACACGCTTTTCTTATTTCAAACTGAGGATAAATAATCATTTATTACAACAAAACGGTGCATTGAATTTTTTTTGAGATTCGATTTGTGAGTTCATTAATAAATCATGGTTTAAGTGTATAAATTTCAGTACTACCGCAGTTGTGGTTGTTAAGCTACATCGGGTTATTATGTTGGGCCCCCGAATTGACTAACGTTATTGCCGTATACAACGAAGACCTTAAAATGGAGCACACCCCTGAAAGTCATGTATCCGCTTTAAACTGTCTGTGTAGAGTGTGCGGAAGACTGAACATTACAGGAAAGCAGAGAAAATCCTTTAAAAAGCCGTATTTGTGTTAGGAAATAGCCAGTGACCTCTTCCTTGTGTTCGGGTTGAGTATCAAAGATGACGCTAGTGATAAACACTCCAAATTTGTGTGTTTGAAATGCTTTAAAACAATCCATGACGCTAAACGTCGAAATAGTGCAGTGTCCCTACAAACACTAAGAAACACTTTTGACAGCAGTCAACACATCTGGTGTGCTTACAATGAAAACTGTGATGCCAAAACGTGCACAGTCTGTGAACAGAAAAGGCTGCTCTCTCTTGGCTGTGCAACAGTAAAGCCCCGTGACCCCCAGTCTCACTCCAGCAGCCATGAAAAATACACACACCAAGCTAGTCCTAGCACCAACATTTCTGAGACAGACACAACCACACAGAGTACATGTACCCGTGCTCTCAGCACCGACTCAACACAACAAAACGACCCACACACAAGTACAAGTCAGACTTTCCACCCCCACCCTCAGTCTGTTGTCCCAGTCAGTGACCAACACGTAGGTGTACAACATGCAGACACAATAGTTCAGGAGCAGTCACATCGTAGCTCACACCGACACAGTCAGAGCACATCGGTCACACATTCTCCCATACCGCATGATAGCAGTTGTGAGCACAGCGTAAGCACTGTCCGTGTTTCTCCATCGTCATCATTCACACCCACTAAAGGCCAAACATTTTCTGCGACTCCCTTGGCTTCGTCAACTCCAGCCCAGATACATGAAACAGTTAGGCCTACCCAAGACAGCACAACATCTCCCATGATCAAAGACATAGAAACCATCAGCCATGCAATGAGTAAGGCACTCACTAAAAAAGAAGAACAATTAACAACAAGACTTATGAAGAGAATAAAACCTATAGTCTACGCCATGATTCCTATGGAGTTATTGTCTTCCAAGTGAGGGAAGTATGTGGATATATATTTACCATGTGATGCCATTTACAATGTGATGCATAGATGAACCATTTTGAGGTCACACAAACTGCGGTAGCAGTGACATTTGGTGAGTACATACCCTTATGTGTTACGTTTGTGTCCCTGAAAGATGAACTTATCCTTACGCTCAGTTTTCTCATTATCGGCGTTCATTACATCATAACTAGAACCGATATCGGGAATCAGACATGACTATCTTGCACTGTCTGTTACAACTAAACAGACCCATGCTGATTCTCTTTGTTTTTGAAATATCATGAAAGAGACTTGGAACTGCTGATGCCCGCATGCAGTGATGTCTTTAAGTCAATGTTATTGTGTTAATTAGGGCTCAATTCAGAATGAAAAATATGATTTTCTAAACCTTCCGCGCGGTCACGCTGACCGAAGAATACCCACGCGATGACCCCGTTCACTGTCACAGGTCAGCGCGCCACTGGTTACCTGAGTTCTCAACTAAAGTATCCTGTTTCTGTGCGCCGTGTGTCGAGGAAATACAAAGTAAATTTTGGGTAATGTCATACTGTAGGCTTGGAGGTGCAAAACGAAGCGTAAACTCCAGGAACAAGGCACAAAAGGCGATGCAAAGATGCGACGTTGTATGGAATTTTCCATGTCAATTTTAGTTTCTGTTGAAAATGAACAAAAATATTGGCGCCGTTTCTCCTGATCGACGAGGTAGCTATAAAGAAAAAAGAAAGACTGAAAGAAAGGAGTAGGCAAACCCGATTAATTACATGCGTCATTAGTTTGGTGAAATTCACCACTTGAAGAGAAATTTACCAGACGACAAAAGCAGATGGGTAGATTTAGTTTGAATGAGGCGTGATTCCTTTTTCTATCTGCATGAAATGTTCATTGTTGAACTCACCTGAAGGACTACTGACTTTAGACATCCTATCTCGAGGATTGAGAAAGAAAGAATGAGAGACAGATGGTAAGAGTGTTAAGAAGGGAATGTTATAGAGAACCGATGGACAGGTATATCTTGATCAAAAAATTAATTGAAAAGAGGCCAATTCGAAAAGTCTTTCTTTGAATAAAAGTAAATGCATTGTGTGCTTCGCTTTTATTTTTCATTTTTGTTTTGACAAACAGCTTTCACTAACTCTCCTCGATTTCCTTTCTTGTTATCACCACTAAAATTATGTAGATCTACTAGTGTCAAGCTTGCTCGTGTGCATGCATGTACATTTCAAGCATTGAAAGAGATTGTACATCGGCCGAAATTTCTCCAGGAATCTCCTCGCTTCGTGCCGTTCTTGGTATGGCTGATAACGTCCGTCTTTCCCTTTGGTTTTATTTTGATAGCCCCGCCCGTGCTGCTTCACTTTTTCCACAGTATGGCTTTGCCCTTAGTTTCCATCAAAAGTTAATATTGGCTTTAACAAGAGGAAAGTAAGTTTATACATTGGTCTTAATGGTTACACGGACTAAATCATGTTGATCACAGTTTTGGTAACAAGTGTTGTCCCTATAATATTTAGGACATAGTAGCTGATTTTATCACCTTGGACTATGATAAGACAAGCAAGACCGCATAAATGATGAATGACATCGTTTTAAGTTTACATTCACTTTATTCATATGCATTCCAAAACAAAATTTGTGACTACTTTTCTGTTGCTAATTACTTTAATAAAAGAATACAAAACAGTAATGCAGCACAATCTTATTTTCTACAAAGTATAGCACGGGTTCTCTTTTAATTCAGTTACAAAACTGATTAGTACAATGTTTCATCTACCCCTCCCGCTCCCACATTCTCTTTCCAACTTTACAGTACTATAGATGAAGAATGCATTGCTTTAAAGTACCGATATTCTGAAAAGAAATACACAGAGTTGTGAAAGTCCTTCCAAAAGTCAAAGCAGCTCGAAAGCAAACTTTGGAAGATGTATGTCAGAAAAGTCTTTCCCAATGAAGCAGCAAAAGGACATATATTGACATTCCTCATCCTTGCTGAGTGCAGTTGTGCACTCTGAATAGCAGCTAGTAAACATTCCATTCACTTGTTTCATGCTCAATGGCAATGATGCTTGTTCTTTAAATCATAAAGAGCTGTTACTGTTAGGGAAGTAGAGGTCCATACTGTGATGAATTTTCTTCAATCTTCCTGTTCGAGCTACGGACAAGGAACTATTCATCCAAAGTGAGCCAAATGGGATGCTACAAGACTGACAAAATTGTTGTGGTCTCAAATGATCTTCAACATGATCGTCATGTCGTGGGAATATTTTGGGAATTGAACATCATCATAATGTCACAAGAAATAACAGAAAGATAAACACTGTTTACTGCCATGAATAACGATGTAATGGGAGTACCCTTTTTGACATTCTGCTACTGCTGCTATTACTAATACTACTGTTTCTGCTACTGCTGCAGCCTCTACTGTTAGGAAAATTAATTTTAGTTCAGTTTGGATTTCATGTTTCACTTATTTTTAACTGCCACAAGATTTTTGTCCCGTAAATTTTAAGTCTCTATAAAATGCTCAATGAGTTAATAAGTTGATATCTTTTTTTTTTCTCTAAAAACATAACAGATAACATCAAAGAAGTATTTCAATACATATTTTAGTTCTCTGTAGGTGTGCAAAATATTTTTAAGAAACATCGTCCTTTTTTCTGCCCACTTGTTTTTTTATCTTTTGTCCTGTAACGTTTAAGACTACTACATTTAGCTATTGTTGCTGCAAAAAAACTACGCTGTCAGGCTTAGACTTAGTGTGATGTAGCTTGATTAAAAATCATCAAGTATTTTTACAAATGTTAATTTGCAATGGAAATGAAGTTGATATATTATATTCGTGTTCAGTCCATCAATATAGTAGAAAATGGACTTCATCAGAAATATCCTCCTCACTGGTTTCAGCGAAATCTCCGAATAGCTCATTCTGCGGTAATTTTGGTTGAAATGAAAGAATAACAACACTACTATTGTATATAGTCGCTATAGTTGTCGAAGCCCGCAAAACCTGGCCATTTTGCAATTCCAAATGACTTGGCCAGGTTTTGCAGGCTTCGACAACAACTGAAGTACTGAATGGTCAAATTCGTCCGCCTCACGGTCAAGTGGTTACGGTGATCGTGTAAGCATTACTCTTTCTTATTACACAAATTTCTATCATCCTATTACATCTATTTAGGTTAGGCCTACCTGTTCTCCACACTCATGTGAGCTTAAAATCCATTGTTTTCTCAGACTGGGTGAGAGTATCAATTTAATTATTCTCACCCGTGGTGAGAATAAAATTGATATTAATCTCAGCCGGGGTGAGAATAACAACAACCTTTTTAAAATTCGTATTAATATCAGTTCTTCTCAGTTTTCGTCAAATGCTTTTTAAGTTTTTCTGAAGCAGATATTTTTATTGGGGGGGTAATGAGAAATCCTTTGTAATCTGATCTCCTTGTACTCTTGAATCTCTTGTTTGTCCTGAAAAAAGAAAAATGATAGCTGTGGGCAGGGTTGCTGTCATTTTGGTACCTTGTATGGGACCTGTCTGAAACAACTTATTTTTAGGTGAGCTTGTTTTCAGCATATGCATGAGGAATTTAATATTTTAAAGATTATTCTTCTCTCCCCAGCTTGAACAGTGTTGTTTTAAATCAAAATGGGCAAGAAGAAAGGCTTGTCAGACAAAGTCCGCAACAGACAGAAAAACAGAGGCAAGCCACAAGTGAATCCTTTTGAAGTAAAAATTAACAAAGTGAAGCATACGGTGGTGAACAAGAAAGTTCAAAAATGGGAAAAGGGCGCTCCAGGGGTGTCACGTTCGAAAGCATTGAAGAAGGTCAGTTTGTTTATTCTCATAAAAATTTTGGTTTGCATACTTAAATGTATATATAATATAATTTATAATTCATTGCCATTGGTTTTTGTACTAGATTGATTAAATGATACTGTTAATCTCATGTCTAATTTAATGGCCTTCAGAAGCTGTAATGTGACAGATTTTCAAAATTATATTTCTCGAAACTATTTTTGGCACTGGTGCATCACTGAAAAGGGTTACAACTCTTGCAATGTATATTAGTGGATATATAAGGACATCAGTCATCTTTTGGGTCTGTAGATTTGGTTAGAAATTGGCAGTGTCCTGATTGTGATTCTTGTTTCGTGTGTTACAGAATGGGAGGGAACAGGTTTTTGTAAATATTGGAGGCTGGTATCAGAGTAGATACGTTCTTAGCAGGTGGACTGTTGGTTTATGTGACTCTTGTTTATGCACATTTATTGTCAAGGCATGGACTTTTGGAGGTTGTTTAATGTGAAATGTAATTTGTAAAATTTGAAAGTATTTGTCACCTGCTCCTCCATAGTTAACTCACTCAGCCTAGACCCCAAGATAGTCGGGTTACGCACTTCTTCGCTGGACCCGACAGTATCGTGATGGACATTCACATTAGTTATTAACTTTTTAACGTAAACGCACTTACAATGAGAACATGCTATACTTTATTCGTGAACCTTGGCCATTTCTGTAAAAGAAACATACAAGGGCAAAGGTTGCTTGCTTGACCTACAATTGAAAATAACTTAGCACGTGGTATCGAAGTGGGAAGAGTGAATGAGTCTTCGTCTTTCTTTCGAGCTACTTTTTAGTGCCTGTTGCTGACCCTTTTCAAATGGCAATGTCTCACAGACCATCAAATATTTTCAAATTTTGTAAATGGTAATAGACCATGTAATAAGTAAACAAATTGTGTGTGAAATATTATGGCGATGAAAGTTGATTTAGTATTGTTACTTATTTTACAAATACGCCTAAAACCTCCAGGCATAGCCATCCGACCAGGTCCATGGATTTAGGGCTGAGTTAAAAGTTTTCTTTGGTCACGAAGAGGCAGATTTGTTTCTGTCTGTTAGTATAGTAATGTTTAATATTTTAAAGTAGTTTAGCAAGAGAACTAATTGAATAGTCATGTATGTGTAAAGAATAATTAGGATTTAGAGAGTTTTGAGTTTTGTAAAGTCATTGCTTGACTGAAAATTACCAGGTATTGTGTTGTGCAACAAAAATGCTGTATCAGTAATTATATGGAATGTAGATGAATTTGAGAAGTGTTCTTGAAGCTTTTCTAATGTATTTTCTCTCTCTGACTTCATTTCAGCGGAAGGACACATTGCTTAGAGAACTTCACCACATGCGGAAATCCAACACGCTTCTTGACAAACGGTTCGGAGAAAATGATTCGAATCTCACTGCAGATGAAAAAATGGTGCAGAGATTTGCCATCGAGAGAAAGGTAAAATTGTTCTCCCCCCTCCCCCCTTCGATAGCTATGAAATTCAAGAAAATGGAAAATTGCCCTTTTGACTTTTTCTATGGGTGTAGCTGATGGACTAAGCATATCTTTTAAGGAAATTCTAGACCTCTTTTCTAATCAGAGAGGCAGCTGACTCTGAGATAAAAACTGAAGAAATTATTCTTTCTTTAAATTTAGACCTGCATGTTTGCCGACAATCGTCTGAAATCCGACAATCACGACCCGACCCGCGAACCGGCCGATGCTATCGCTAGGCCCGCCTAGTATCAGTCAATGTGCGTAGTGCGAGGCCTGGCCGACTGCCAGCGACCCCTTTTTCTCCCGTCGGCTTCGTCGGCACTTTCGTTTTCGTGCCGACCGTCGACGCGCGCACCGCCGACTGCCGACGTCGGCGTTTCCGACATAATTGTCGGAACCTAAGTAGAAATGCGAATACGAAAAAGGACGACAACTTAAATTATCTACTTTCAGTTTCGTGCTCGAGCGGCCATTTTCAATTTCGTTTGTTGACTAATTCAATTGTTCAGATCGTGTGGGTTCATTCAAGTCCGACTCTCTTGTTCTAATAGAATCTAGATCTAGATTTATATAGAGATCATTATAGACCTCAATGGAGGATTCATAATCCAATTCTATTGTGTCAAACCCTATCATAGGTTGTGCTGTAATATTAATATTGGTAAAAATAAGCATTTCATCAGGTGCGTGAATTATTTATTATTATTATTATATTTAGATCTATAGTCTAGATTCTAGATCTAGTTAGATATCTAGATATAGATCTAGATCTAGTTAGATCTAGATCTAGAATCTAGACTCAGCTGAGTCCCTCTTCTTCTGTTCGGAATCGGATGCGGATTTCTAGTTCAAAGCCTAGAATCTATTCCTATTCACTTGTTCTTCAGGATCTAGATCTAGATCTAGATTTTTCTAGATCTAATCTAGATCTAGATTTATTTTTTAGATTACTAGTCTAGTAGATCTAGATATCTAGATCTATAGTCTATATGGAGGATTCATATTCCAATTCTATTGTGTTATTGTATCAAACCCTATAGCAATGTAGATGTAAGCCATATAGATAAAATTTAGATCTAGATCTAGATCTAGATCTAGAATCTATATGCTCCTTGTTTGTTTTGGAGTGTGGTTTTTTAATTAAATTTTTTTTTTCATTTAGTACTTGTTTTGGCCTTTTTACATGCGAATCCCTTTAAGATGAGGCCCGATGCAGGTTCTTTTTGGGGTAGGGTTAGGGTTAGGTCTCTTCTTTATTGTGTTTGTTGGGGTAGTCGCTCGTTACTCGGATGTCCTTCCTTATGACACCCACTAAGGCTTTTTTTTTTAGGGGGGGGGGGGGGGTTGCGCAAAATTTTCAGACAATCTGGTTGAGGCTCACATGCAGGTCTATAAATTGTTGATACTTTTTGTGCTAGGTTCTGTTTTTCTGAAATATGTCTGCAGAGCGTGGTTTCATTTTTCTTTTGTGCTTATATTATGGCTGTCTTCCTCTGTTACTGAAAAAATTAATTAAATTTGATTTTTTTTGTTGAGGTTCTACTTTTGTGTACAACATAATTATGATCATATAATGATCTGGCCTGTTAGCCCCCACTTGTTGCTTTTGTTTTTTTCACTTTCTTTTTCTTAAAGTCACCGAGTCCTTGCAGTCCTGGAATAAATGTCATAATTTCCTTGTTGTTTCCTTCTCTTATTTATTAATTTTTAAAAAATGTCTTTGCCTGCAGAAACAATCACAGAAAGGTGATTTCAGTCTAAATGACGATGAAGAAGTGTTGACGCATTATGGACAGTCCTTGGCTGAGAATCTCCAAGACACGATAGGCAGTGATTCAGAAGAGGAAACGGATGAGTTTAGGACCAGTGAGTACATATTTTTGTTCTATGGTTAAATATTAACTCTTAAGGTGAATGCTTTCTCCCCGCAGACTAACTACTTTTTTCACATGATGTGGGAAAATTTGTTTTATTTTAAAATTTAATTCTTAAGTTTCAGCATTTTAGTTTGGGTATTGTGATAAATTTTTATTGTATTTTATTTTTTATGTAAGTGCAAAAGAGCTAATGATGGATGGATGCTATGTTTACCTGTTGTGTGTAATATGGATTAAAAAAGAAAAAGAAAGTCATGAGTTATGGGGCGGATGGTTGAAATTATTTTTTGTCATTGATTAGAATAGCTTAAACTGTAATGTCAATAAATTCTTTTTAAAATCGAATCTTTTTTGTTGAGTATTTATTGTCTATTTCATGTTTTTGTCTCAGGTAATCTGCAGTTTGGTGGTTTCTCAAAGAACAGTGATGAAATGTCATGGAAAGAAAAAATGAATCAAGTGATAGCAGACTCAAAGAGGCAAAAGGTTAGATTTTATTTCTTATTTGGTTTCATTCTTTCCTTTTTTAAATTTTTAAATATTTTTTGGGGGGATCTTGTTGCTGTTGCATTTAAAATTGTCCAGGATGGCTACCCATTGTTGAGGAGAAAAGTGGTTGTATTAGGGTATGGTCACACCGCAGACAAAGTGAAGGGGTGTGGGTGAGGCGATTAAAATGAATAGAAAGGGAATCTGAAATGTTGACACTGATTTCTCTGTTTTGAAAGGCTGACTACTTTTTGGGTAATATATCATACTTACTTATCTTAGCTCAAGTGTGGCTGAGGCTATTCTCCCCCGATTTTCTTTCTCTTGGGATTTTTTATTCCTTCCATGCTACTTGCAATAACTGTGTGTTCTTCCTTTATTCTTGTCTGTCTGTCATGCTCTTTTCCAGCTCTATATGACTGTTAATGTGTTGATGTGCTTCTTTTTACTCAAACAAATAAAAAAACATGGGATAGCATTGTGTGTTTTGAGATACTTTTATATATTTAACTTTTTTGTTTTTTGTTCATCTTTGGTTCCTCTTAATATAAATTTGACTTTCTGTTGTGATGTTGTGGTTTCCCACACCGTATGGGTTAGACTTAACCTGCAGTGTTGAAGCATCCTTCCTCCTGTATGATTTATATTGATGAGAGGGCGTCATTTTGTCACATTATTTCTATTACTCTTTCTGGCTTTTTGCAGTCATGCTTGGTGCGATGTTAAAGTTATCATAGTCCTACTTTTGAGCCGTACTTTTACCCTTTTTTCCCCCCCAGAAAACTTTTGTGAGGCTTTAAATAAATGCATTCTGATTTTTTTTTTTTCAGTATGAAAGACAGGCAGAAAAAGAAAAGGCGCTTGAAACCACTAATGAGCTAGATAGCATTTGGAAAAGTGTTGTCACCATTTTGAACCCTATGGTAAGCATCAGTACCTTTTCATCCACAGGCAGCAAATGTTCTGTATGTACGTCTTGTTTTATGCTTGTGCCTTTTGTATTTCAATTTTGATTGCTCATATTATTATTAAGTTTGTGGACATGTTTTAGTTTTAGTAGAGGTTTTTACGCCACTCGCAACTGCATAAGGTCATATGAGCGCCAATGGGTGGATGTCAACAGAAAAGTCCTTGCGGGGAATCAGTCTTACTCTGCTCACCTCTCTAGCTTCAACAGCACAAAATCTGCTTCGACTATCAAGGCACCCTGGAAATAGTGGATCACAAGAGTGGGACAAACATACAAAAGAAGTACAGGAAAAATGACAATAGTAAGGATTAGGAAAGAAAAAGCAGCAGTTCCCTGTTGTAGATCAGGCACAGTTATGAGCGTTACATTGATGAATCAGCCCATTTACAGTTCTACTGTGCATGAACGAGAAATTTTCCTCCTTTGGGAATGGCCTAAAGACATTTCAGTCAGTGGCACCGCCCCAGGGGGTTTGTGGACATGAAACCTGAACAGTGTGCTTTGAATGCTCTTTCTGTAATTATTTTATATACAAATACAGTTCGTCAGGGTTATATTTTAAGAAGTGTCTACGTTCTCTAACGTTAGAGAATGTATACACGCTGTCTACGTTCTCTAACGTTAGAGAATGTATACACGCTGTCTACGTTCTCTAACGTTCAGTGCTTCCAATTTTCCGCCATTTTTTAAAGTTTCCTTCAGACTTCATCTGCCGATCCGATGCCCACCGCCTCATTGATATTCTTCCCCCCCATCCCCATGTTTCCCGACTTTCTCACTTTCTTTGTTGTAGAAGTAGAAATCTAGATGTCAACGTCTTGATCTATGTTGTTGCCTTTCCTGAAACAGTGCTGTATATTAAGCTTAATCCAGACCTGCCACTAATCCCGATTTAGTCGGGATATCCCGATTTTTTGCCTCAAATCTCAAGCATCCCTATTTTCCCGATTTCGATCGCGTGTATCCCGATTTTTTGTCCCAGTCTGCTGTTGTGCCGGATTTTTCTTAAAACGTACTCTGTCTTCTCCTTTATCACGGGAAGCATCTGTTGAACTTTTTTTCAGTAGGAACTCTGAGCACTATTTCCCCAAATAACGATGCCGCATTTAGTAGTTGCTTGCCCCAAGTTGTATGTGATCTTTGCCCGCACTCCAATGATAGCCTGGTAACTGTTACAATTTGGGACATACAAATACACTGTAATCAATAATATTCGTAGTTCCGCTGTTACTTTCAAAACAAGCCTTGTCCGAGGTCTGGTAACTGTGCGTTCACATCAAACACTCAGACGAGCGACAGTCTTTCTAACCCTTACACAACTACATGTAACTACGCTGACAAGACTTAATATACGGCCGTTGTCGTTGCTTTAGTCTGAACGCATTATGAGGGATAAGAGATTTGTTGGTACATTTGGTTGGTCGGCTGCCGTCGTTATCCTAGAAGTAGAACGACTGTCGCTCATCGAGTGTTTTGTGTGAACGTGCAGTTAGTCGGACCCGTCAGTAAAATTGTTTCAATCGCACATTTGCGTCACGTGACATGACATCGCCGTGTGAGTTCTGCATGTCGGGGACCGTCCGTAGACGGGGTCAACTTAAGTTCATGTATTTCGGGACTTATTGGGGGGGGGGGGGGAGTAGAGGCACTCGGACAAGGAGTGCTTGACGGGATGCTTCAGGATTTACAAAAAATAATGATAACTCGCACGCACACACACGCGCGCGCACGCAAACAAACAAACAAAGACACACAGAGGGCATAATAGTCCTAGTAATTTATGGACACCCCTAGAAAAATTGTAAGTCAGCTTTGGCAGTCACACTGGTGATTTGCTGTTTATCCTGATTTTTTTCACCATATCCCGATTTTTTCTCCATGAGATCCTGATTTTGAGGTTTCATAGAGTGGCAGGTCTGAATCTACCTCTGGTCATTGGATGTTCTGATAGCCGAATGGTCAACGTGTCTGCGCATGAAGAGTATGAGTGTGGGTTCGAATCCTGGTCCCGAAGATTTTTTATTTTTTTAAAATTTGGTTTTTCTTCTTCTCCTCCCGACTGACCAACGATTTTCCCCATAATTATATTTTGTTGCTTTGCAATTTCTTATGTAGTGATGAAGAATGCAAATTCTGGTTTTGTCTCTAGGAGGAGCTTTTATCTACTAAGTATAGGTCTACTTTTCCTTTTACCAATTTATGCCTGGTTGTAGTACATTTCCAACAGTGGCTTTCCTTGGTCTGTGAGTCTAATTTTTAAAATTTATTTTAGAATCAGAGAGGCCAAATCTTAGCTCTTCAATTGCAAATTTTCTTTATCCAGGGCTGTGGCCCCTAGACCCCTCCCAGTTGTTCCTCCTGTCAATTATTATTCATCCTTGTTGGGGGTCCGGGGGCAAAGTGTTGGTTAGTAAGGAGAAGGAGAGGAAAAAACAACAAAAAACCACAAAGTTTCCTGGAGCACTGAGCATTAGAGAACGTAGACACTACCTATATTTTATTCTTTAGCTATCGTTTTGATTTATTTTTGTCATAATCACTGTTTTCTCTTGTTAGTATTTTGCTTTGATGCTAAACTTAGAAGTTTTCTTTGTCTTATTGTTGTGAGTTTACTTGAAGCACTATTTAGCCCTCTGAAGGAAAGACTGAGCTTGTATTTAATGACTTTCATGATACTACCTATTATTTTCTACATACATTTTGTTACTTATATTTTATCTCCCAGAAAAATGCACCACCTCCTAGAAAGAACCCGTCGCGTTTTATGCAGCTTTTTCACAACTTGGTTATGGAGCAGACGTCAGCTGGTGTGAGTATTGCTGTTAATTAATTACATTTTCATATTTCTTTTTCTGTGGAGCTATGTTTTTTATACAAGAACCTTCAAGCGGTGTGTTTTAATATTTGGGTCTTGCAGTGAAATGTACACAGGTTTGTTAAATCGTGTTTGATACTAGTCATAAAAGAAGGGTTGGGAATTGAAAAGTTTTTTTGATTCAAGCAGCATGATTTGGATACAACTTAGCATTCTCATTTCAGCCTCCACATTTAAATATCAGGGTGGAGAGCATGGGACCAGCAACTTTTGGACTGATAACTGTTATATAATTATGTGTCAATGCATTCCAGGCTACTGACAAAACCAAGACAGATGAAGAAAAGGCAAAGGAAGAGGCTGAGAAACTGCAAGTATTGGAGGTATGTATATATAAGTTATATATTTGTGTGTATGCCATCAAATGCATCACTTTACACTGCAGGTAAAAGCTCTTGTTACTCTGCTGCTGCACTTTTAAATAACAATAAACTCAATCTTCCCCCATGCAGATTACTGGAATGGCAGTTTGACCTTTTTATATTGTTAACCATCCAAATAGCCTTGGAGGGGCTATATAATTTCATCATATTATGCCTCAGAACTGGCAAACCAAACAAATAAATGCCATGGACATTGTCAGAAAGTACAATGTAAATAATAAATTGAGCTCATTTGTTAATGAGTTGAAATGTTTGGTGATGTAAAAAAAACCCAGGATAAATGAACTGAAATAGCAGCTCAAATTATGGTCAATGAAATTGGCTGCGACACCACTGAATGAAACTTTTGAATGGTTTAACCAGCCACAGACAAGTAGGAGGATTAAATGTGTTTGTATTTTTTAATTGTTTTTTATTGTGTGTGTGGCCCTAAATAATCTTTGGTTTGCTTCCATAAATTGAAAGTTAGTTCTACTTTTTTGTTTCCTGTCCCACAGAAGACTCCGGAGACTTAATTATATCTCCATTATCCAGTCTCCTTTTGGCTATCTTTTTCATTTACATTCTTGCAACTGTTGACATATCTATTGTTTTTCTAGGTAAGGTTATCACATATGGCTTGAGTTTATTATACTGGCCATAAGGGTTGCTTCTTTGCCTTTAACAATAGAAACTCAAACCTCATTTCTGGCAGTATTTCATTATTTCTTTTGAAGATGCACATTTTCATTAACTGTTTTTGTGTTGTTATTTTCCTTTAAGGCACAAAGGCTGTCAAGGATGAAAGGATCTTATGGGTCTGAAAAAGCCATGCCCGACCATGTCTCTGCAGATGATTTGAACGATGGGTGAGGATTTAATTAAATATAATGTTTTCTGATAATTTGTTGTATGATTTTTAACTGTCATCTGAGATATTGGACCAATTAAAAAAGTAGGTTGTTGGTGGTTGGCGGGTGCTCTCGTGTGAGTTGCTCCTTTTTACCTGTCAAACATGTATCATTGTTATCTCCCCCTTTTTTGCGTTTGTAACTCTCTAGTAACACCTATAATCCTCGACACTAATATGACATAATTGTGTCGCACGTGCCGTTAAATTCTTTTATCAAAACAAAAAAATCAGTTGGATCAATTTTTGGGGGGTATTTTTTTTCCATGACCTAGTTTTAAAATGACTCGTTATGCAATTTCTGTAAAGCAATATTTCCATTATTTTTGTTTGGCACTGTTTGTGAAAAGAAAGCACCAAAAGCTCAATGAAGACCAAATGCTGTGGTTTGGAAACCGAATCTTTTTCTCTCTCTTTTAGAAATGGTTGCATCCTGAGAGTTTATTTTTTCATCCTCCATTGTATAGACTGCTGAGCTACCATTGACTGTATCTTTTCTAAAGCCTGTATTTGATTTGTTTCAGTTTTGCTCTAGACAAACCTAAGTCAAAAGTGAAGTTTGCTGATGAGGTTGGATCTGATTCTGAAGGAGCTCCTGATGGGTCAGATGATGATGATGATGAAGATAACGAAGAAGATCATGATAACAGCAGTGGTGATGATGAAGAAAATGGGGACGACGACGATGATGATGAAGGAGAAGAATCTGATAAATACTCAGATTTAGCATCTGAAGATGGAACTGATGAGGATGATGAAGAGGCCAATGAAAAGAATAATGGGACCAGCAGTGACAAATCTGCAAGGTCTATCCTAAAAAAAACCCAGGTGAGGAAAAGAGACATAGTTGATACTAAAATGCTCCCAGAGCAGTAGAGTTTTGGTTTACTCATTACATGCTAACCTAAATGCCTCTACTCATAATGTCTGGTAAGGTTTGACAGTCTTTTGTGGAATCAAATATTTGTTGGTCTATCTTACCTTGAAATTAGTGATAAAAAGATCAGAGAGTCTTATTTTAAAACGACATCTGGCATTTAATTATAGTGCTCACCTTTCAAATGAAATTTTGGTGAAAATGCTGATATTATCAAGAAAAGAATTCTCTTACTCTCAGGTCTTCTCTGGGTTGTTCAAGGCCTTATCCTTTTTTATTCTTCTGATAGCAAGGCCGAAAAATCTTCTTATTACATAGCTGCCAACTTTCCACAACAAAAACCCCCCCACCTACCCATGCAGTGTGACGAGAGGGTGTGCATTGGCAGTGCTACCAATCTTCCATATGAATCTGTAATTTTTTATAGTTCTGTACTTGCTCCTCCATCATTGTCAACTCCATCCGTTAAAAAGTGCAGTAGTGTAGGGCTTCAGAAAGGATCCGTACTTGCTTTCGATTCATCTTGTATAAGTTCTCATGATATTTACAGTGATTGTCTCTGCAACAAGTTAATGCTATAGATACCTGCGAGATTGCGCAATTCCTTCAATCGCCCATTAAATTATTCTGCTGCACATTCATTGTGGGTTAGTTGCTATTTATTATTATTGTTGCTACTTACGGATTGATCAAAATCTGGCTAACCATGATAGTGCTGTGATAGTGAACTTTTTGTGCAAATTTTCTCCTTTCTTTCATTCACTCATTTTTCCTGTCTATCATTGGTTTGTTGCGTGGCTGGAAAATCTGCGTGTTGATCAAGTAAATTCATGTGTGATTTTAGAAAGAAAATCACTGGTAAATTTTTGCTTTCACTCCCGCACTCGGGTGCACTGCTTTGAGGGTTATATTGTAGTATTTTTTGCTGCAGATCACAAACATGGCCACTAAAAAACTGTCACAAATAAATTTTCTTTAAGACAATTTTAAATCTAATTGCAAAACATCATTTTATGGGAAAACAGAGGGGCATGCCCGCCCTCCCGTAACCCTCCAGATCTTTTTTTACTTCAGGGGGGTATGCCCCCTGAAATTGCTGACTGGTCCAAAGTGTGGAAATAACTACAGAATTAGGCTTAGTGTGATATAGTTAGAAAAAAAAGTGCATCAAATATTTTTTAAACATTTTGATCTGCGAGGAATATAAAGTTGATATTCATATAAAATCAATTAAAATGAAGAAGGAACGGGCTTTTCAATTCCTGAGCATGAGATGGTAGTAAAAGTAAAATAAGATAATACCAAATCACTATCTGAAAGAAACTTTTTGGACATTTGTGTTGAGCTAGAGAAATTGTCAGTGCGATGGTTCTACAGGAGCGTGATAAGGGCCACGGTGAAATAAATTTATACTAAAACCACTAAAATCAAGAATAATTTGAAGTGATGTTCCGAGGTTGGGACATAATAATAATAAATGGCATTTGTATAGCGCAAATCCCTGCTCAACAGCATTCAAACCTGAAAATGGAGGAAAATTAGGGTATATGCTGGGTAACTTTATTACCAAGGTAATTGCCAAGGTACATTTCTATTCATTATTCCTGTGATGACAATTTAATTGATTAATTGAATTATAGTAGCAATTGGAAGGGGAACCTGCTTTTAAACATTGCTAACAAGGGAAAGATATGCAGGTGAAGAGATAAACAAGACAGAGTCTTTGTGAACAAATAGGTGTTATGGGCTGTTGGCAATCTCTTCAAACAAGCTCTCAAATGCCATTTTCAACTCTCTAAAAGCACGGAATTTCAATTTCTTCGGGGGCTTCACCCCCTGAACCCCCCCACTGGGATGCTGTACCCTCCTTGGGCCCCCTGCAGAATTTTCCTTACTTTTCAATTTCGGCTGTTGGAAGCACTAATTGGACAAGTAACACTCCACCACCACCACCACTCACTTTTTTGCATTCTCAATAACTTGAAGCTATCCAAAGGAGACCTGCAGCTAATGATCTCTTCAGTTTAGTTTTAGTAGAGGTTTTATGGCGCTCGCAACTGCATAAGGTCATATGAGCACCACGGGGTGGATGTCAACAGAGAAGTCCTTACAGGGAATTAGGCTTACTCTGCTCACCTCACTAGCTTCAACAGACCAAAGTCTGCTTCGAATATCAAGGCACCCCTGAAATATGAAATAACGGGTCACAAGAGAGTAACAAACGTGCAAAAGAAGTAGAGGAAAATGACGATAGTATGGATTAGGAAAGAAAAAGCAGCAGTTTCCTGTTGCAGTTCAGGCACAGTTATGAGCATGACATTGATGAATCAGCCCATTTACAATTACAATTTTACTGTGCATAAGAACATGGTTAATATCCACCCTTTGGGAATTGGGAATGACCTAAAGAAAACACTTCAGTTTGTAGCACCGCCGGGGGGGGTGAGATCTCTTCAATTGGCTTGTGGGTTTTGTTCTAATTATTCAAAAATCCTGTTTGGAATGTTCATAATTTTTCTTCAGCATCGGCAAGTTTATGAGAAGTAATATTAGAAAACAGAGAATAATGTATTTTCTTATACGAAAACAGGCTTCAGCTTCTGAATTGAGATCCTCAAAATCATACGGAATACATTTTTACATACTGGTTGGGAGCATTGTAATTACTGCCGTCTGTAACATCTTTAGCAATACTAATATCTGTGTTAATAATGATGTCTCTTGACTGTGATTTTTGACAATATAGAAGCATTTTAACCCATATATGTCAATAATTTTGTATTCAAATCAGGGCTTGGCTGAAATTGGACAAAGTGGGAAAAGTGAACTTCCTTTTATTTTCTCTGGTAAGTATGTAAGGGGTAAGGACACATTTTTACTTAAGTTATCAACTGAGGAGTTTGATTCTGCCTTGTGTTTGGCATTTTAGATGGACTCTAATCTCATAGAACTCTGGACAGTAGGAAATGATACATGGTGTATAATATATGCAAAGAGATGCTGGTCACTTGATCAATTCCATTAATCTGGATCACACAATGTGAGATTTACCCCTTTAAAAAGATTGGTGTTAAATAGAATCTAGTTTCAATATCCGTTTTAATATACCCTAATTTTTCTGGTGCCCTCATTAAATGATGTTAGGTATTCACTTTGGGCTTACAAAAATTTTTTTGTTTTGTTTTGCGGTTTGTTTAAAAAGACTTAAAAAAATTTACCCTCAAAACATCTATACACTTTTGAGGTTGAGCTGTGGAATGAAAGCTGAGTATCATGTGAGTTACGTAGTAGGAATAGGAATGTAATTTTTTTTTTCTCTTTTTATGAATACACACTTGATGAAAGATCTGCAGACTTGCATGCAGAGGACTTGTAAAGGAGGTATGCCCAATGCATTTCTTAACATATAATTTTTGTAAATTTAGGGGTGTTATTTTTGGCAAATGGTCAAAGTAGGAAGTGTTCATGGATATATTTTTGGGAAAATTTTAAACCTGTGTTGTATATGCTTTTGCTCCACAGCCCCTGGAAGCTTTGAGGAACTGGAAGCTTTGCTGCATGGTCACAGTGGGGAGGAGCAAGCCATTATCATATCAAGATTACGCAAATGTCATCATCCAAGCTTGGCTGAGGGAAATAAAGAAAAGCTCGAGGTAAGAATATCTCCTTTTGATCTTTTAATTGATTTGTCTTTTCTTTTTTTGCTTTGTTTTTTTTTGGGTATGTTCTTCTTGACACTTAATGAGCTGTAATGTCAGATTTGAAACCTAAATCTGAGAAGATTTTTACTTGTTCCTTACTCTAGTCTTTACTAATATCAGATTGGGTAAATGATTTGTCAAAATACTTACATTTTTTTTTTTCAAGCCATTGTAACCATGTAGATCAACAAATTCTGGTAAATAGTCAGATGAGATTAGCATGTTTTACTCTGTTGGAATATTTGTGGCCCATGTTGTGCAGACTTGGTGAAGTGGGTGGTTGGCAGGTGCTCTGGTGTGGTTTGCTCCTTCTTTCCTATCAAACGCCTGTCATCCTTATCTCTCCTCCTTCTTTTTTTATGTATGTTACTCTCTTGTAACACATCTATTCTTTGGCGCTTTTATGACCTTATTGTGTTGCAAGTGCCGTAAAACGCTTACTAAATCTAAACTAAAACTAAGAATTGAAGAATACCATTGTAATTTAGAAAACCTTTCTGTGCTTTCTTTCTCCAGAATATCCACCTGTACTTGCTACAGTACTTTGGGAAATTGGCCACGCAGCAGCCTGTGGACAAGAAGCTCATTCACGGTTTGACAGGAAACTTGTGGGAGTTGTCTCAGACGTACAAAGTGACCACAGCCAATGCACTTCAGAAATACATAGTGCAAAGGCAGTCAGAACACGCTGCCTTTGTCCAGAAGAAGGGAGGGAGAGGCAGTTTTCCTAAACTTGAAACGGTACATTTTAAGTATTTTTAAATTCCTCTCTGAAACTAAGATGGGGGAGGAGTATTAACTTGTGGTATAACTCAAACAAGTTTTTAAATGCGTTCAGGGTGGAGAGATACATATTCAGATACATTTTCTGAAAAAAAAGGGTATCTATTATTTTGCGTATGGAGAAAAGAGAAAACTGGTTTTCCTTGATACAATAAGTTTAGTGGGTCAGCGTTACTCACTTTAGTTTTTCCCTTCTAGTGTGTCTAGTTTTCTTTTTGAGTCAGTCTGAGATGAAACTGCTATGTTGTACAAGTGTTTGAAAGTTCTCTCTTTTGTTTCCATTTAGAGTAATTTTTTCCTCATTATCTCTTCTTAACAAGTTTTCGACCCTTGCCAGTGAGCCGGTGTTGAGCATTTGAACAATAGTTTGTTTCAGTTTGTGACCTACTGTGTAGCAGGCTTTCTGACATCCAATTACCTCCATAGACACTTTTGCTGTTGATGCTTCTTATAATTGTGTGTCATTGTGGTAAAATATTGTTCTTGTCAAAATGATGAAATTGAAGAAACTGACATTTTTCTGCCTGTTAAAAGCAATATTTATCGATTTTTTTTCTAGGCTCAACACTTTTCTTTTATGTCCATTTAAAAATATTTTTATGTGGGTTTTACTGGAAAATGTTGATCATTGGCACAGAAAGTGTAAATTTACAGTTTTAAATGACACTCAAGCTTTGGAAGCCACCAAACTTTGGCGGCATATTTAATAGCTGATTTAACCCTGACACCAGGCAACCCCAACTCCTTCAATCACAAATATCTCGACTTTCTATTCAAGATAGATGAGTATTGTAAAAAATCAAAATAAAAGACAAATGAACAAGCTTTAAGAAGGTACTAGTAACCCCATTTGTCCAAAAATTGACAAGCGCCCGATTCCATCATATCATGTTAGTCAGTGAATAATGTTGTGCCGTTTTAAATAACTTTCTTGAGGCTTTTAGCTTAATTGATATTCATGGAGGAAGCATGCGTATTGCTATTTTTAATCCTTGTATGTCTTCTTTCAGTTGGTGCATCTTGTTCTGATTGAGAATTTGTTCCCCGCGTCAGACTTCAGGCATCCAGTCACAACTCCAGCTTTGCATTTCATTACACAAATGTTGACTGAGGTAAAGCTGAGAATTTTAAAACCACGGGGGCTTTTTGTTTTTTGTTTCTCTATGCTTTTTTAAAAGGATTTTTCAACCATTTTTACTTGTCAGAACTTCTACTTTTTGTTTTTACAATGACAATATCTATTGGAAGTCCCAATTACACATGTAAATTATTTCCTTTCAGTTTGCTTTTATTACAATTGGTGTTGTTCTTGATTTTAGGATGAATGATGTCATTTTTTGACTTGGTTTCTGTGCTAGTCAGCAAAGGGCTTGCCTTTTATATTGTTTTTAGGATATACTTTTATGCATTGGCCTTTCACAAAGTAATTAATTGAATGGTATATATGTATAGAGGTAGAAACATGTTGATATGCAAAGAATTTAACCGAAATGTTTCTGGGATACAATTGTCTGCATGGCTGAACACCTTAAGTATGAGTTGTTGGTTGTTTTTTTTTCTTTTCAGTGCACCCCAAAATCTTGCTCAGATGTTGTTGTTGGCGTGTTCCTCTGCTCACTTGCCTTGAAGGTAAGAAAAGCTTACATTTTATGCTGAATAGGCCTTTTTAAATGTTGCTCTTTTCCCCCTGTATCTTTCCAATTTATGGTATTGTCTTAATATAGACCTGCATGTTTTCCGACAATCGTCTGAAATCCGACAATCGCGACCCGACCCGCGAGCCGGCTGATGCTATCGCTTGACCCACCTGTATTAGTCAATCAAAGTGCAAGGCCTGGCCGACTGCCAGCGCCCCCTTTTTCTCCCGTCGGCTTTGTCGGCACTTTCGTTTTCGTGCTGGCGGCCGACGTTGGCGTTTCCGACATAATTGTCGGAACCTGAGTAGGAATAGGAATACGAAAAAGTACGATGACCTAAATTATCTTCTTTCAGTTTCGTGCTCGAGCGGCCATTTTGAATTTCGTTTGTTTACTGATTGTTCAGATCATGTGGATTCTTTCAAGTCCGACTCACTTGTTCCACTCTAGATCAAGAGATCTAGATTTATAGATCATTATAGACCTCAATGGAGGATTCATATTCCAATTTTATTGTGTCAAACCCTATTATAGGTTGTGCTGTAATATTAATGTTGGTAAAACGCATTTCATCAGGTGCGTGAATTATTTACTTAGATCTAGATCTAGATATCTAGACTCAGCTGAGTCCCTCTGTTCGGAATCGGATGCAGATTTCTCATTCATGGCCTAGATCTATTCCTATTCACGTGTTCTACTAGATTTATCTAGATCTAGATATCTAGATTTATTTATAGACCTGCATGTTTGCCGACAATCGTCTGAAATCCGACAATCGCGACCTGACCCGCGAACCGGCCGATGCTATCCCTAGGCCCGCCTGTATCAGTCAATGTGCGTAGTGCGAGGCCTGGCCGACTGCCAGTGACCTCCTTTTCTCCCGTCGGCTTTGTCGGCACTTTCGTTTTCGTGCCGACCGCCGACGCGCGCACTGCCGACGTCGGCGTTTCCGACATAATTGTCGGAACCTGAGTAGAAATGCGAATACGAAAAAGGACGACAACCTAAATTATCTACTTTCAGTTTCGTGCTCGAGCGGCCATTTTGAATTTCGTTTGTTGACTAATTTAATTGTTCAGATCGTGTGGATTTATTCAAGTCCGACTCTCTTGTTCTAATAGGATCTAGATCTAGATTTATATAGATCATTATAGACCTCAATGGAGGATTCATATTCCAATTCTATTGTGTCAAACCCTATCATAGGTTGTGCTGTAATATTAATATTGGTAAAAATAAGCATTTCATCGGGTGCGTGAATTATTTATTTATTTAGATCTAGAATCTAGATAGACTCAGCTGAGTCCCTCTGTTTGGAATCGGATGCGGATTTCTAGTTCAAGGCCTATTCCTATTCACTTGTTCTACAAGATCTAGATCTAGATCTAGATTTATTTAGATTACTAGATCTATATGGAGGATTCATCTTCCAATTCTATGGTATTATTGTATCAAGCTCTTTATAGCAATGTAAGCCATATAGATCTATTATTATGCTCCTTGTTTGTTTTGGAGTGTGCTTTTTTTTTTTTTTTTTTTTTTTTTGACTTGTTCTGGCCTTTTTACATGAGGGTTCTTTTTTGGGTTAGGCCTTGAGGTAGGGTTTGGGTTAGGTCTCTTCTTTTATTCTTTATTGTGTTTGTTCGGGTGGTCGCTCGTTACTCGGAAGTCCCTCCTTTTATGACACCCACAATTTAAAAGCTCTTATAAGTTAGGGGGGGTGCGCAAAATTTTCAGACAATCTGGTTGAGGCTCACATGCAGGTCTATTAATAGTTTCCTACACTAAGCACAGTTGACTTAAAAAGGTTTTTTGTTTCTAAACTGTGCTAATGTTTTTCACAGTCGGATTATAAATCCATACTTTCTTTTAATTCCGTATTTCACCCTCTAAGTATACCATCAATTTTTATTTCAATTTTTTCTGTTAGTTTCAAATGAATTCTTGATCTGTTTGCTTTGCCTCTTTCCCTTTCTTTCATTGTATTGTGTCTCTCTTACAACAGTTCATTTTTTTTGGTTTCAGTTTGTGAGTCTGTCGAAAAGGTATCTTCCTGAGGTTGTCACTTTTCTTCAGGGATTGATATTCTCTGCTTTGCCTGCAAAGAGTACTAAAGGTCAGTAGTCATAAAAAAATTATTATTTAGCTCCCGAGAATTTGTCCTGATATATGCCCCAAAATCCTGGGAAAGGAGAGATAATCCTGTAAGGATATCATACATATTTTAAATTTTAAAGGATAAGAATAAAAAAACCCACAACTATATTAGGAAAAGTATACGGCTTCCACTGAGCCAGTTTCTGCTTCTGTACAGTATGGGCAAGTTATTGTTTCTCCTATTATAGTTGTGACTAATGGGTTTTCATTTGTTGCCCATTTATTTCGTCAAATTAAAAAGTAACCAATCCTCTAGTGACTCAAAAATTAAGAAATACTATATTATGGTAGACTGAGAAATAAACTTTCAGCATGTCTTTTTTTGTTTCCCACAACAGAGATGCCAACCAGTGCGATTTTTGGCCGAAAATACGCGAATACAACTTTTCATGAAAAAATACGCATCCTGGAATGCGAAAACTACGAGATTCAGCTTGGGCGAGTAAACCAAATTATCTCAGGTCCCATCTTTTGTCAAAATAGTATCCGTATCGCAGAACTGGAATATTTGAAAACCAAGTCCGATGTGGTCAGTAAGTTCATTTTTGCCGGTCGCGATCGTGATATTATATTCGTTCAGCTTTTCCCCGTCTGGAGAATACGTTTCACTTTCACGCGAAAAGGCAGCTATGGCGGCAGGCGGAAGCGTATATTACACCGAAGCTCGATCGGGAAAATCAAGATCTACTTTCGCTTTCGTTACCACCGAGAAGTTTGCCAGCAGTTGTCTGATAACGCAACATTTGTGGCATGCAGGTTGTGCAGTATAAACACAATGTCGCCGTGCAAATAAAATATAATAAATACTTTGACTCGTCGCTGTGCTGTCACTTGTGGAAAAAAAAAGAAGAAAAGAAAATACAAGCGTCGTCCGATTTTTAGATTCGTCTGGCTCGCCATCGTGACCGGTCACTGGCCCTGCGCGCATTCGCGTCACAAATAAATACGGCATTGTGTGAGAAAACACCGTGTTTGGTGGGAGTAACGGCGTTGCGAAGTATAAGACTACGGAATAGGGGAGGAGATTATTGATTTTTTTTTTTTGTTTTTTGGTTTAAGATACTATCGGGGGTTTAAGGCAACACCCGAGGACAAAAACTTGGAAGCAATTTTCAGAATTTTGATTAGAGCTTTCTGCAAAGCGCGCGTTGGTGCAGGCCATGTGCGGAATCGGGACCCCTCATACTTTAGCAAGTCTGTGTTATTGAAATAAAGTGTTCGCGTTTCATTGGATGGGTGATAGTAAATTATACCTACTTGGATGGGTGATCAGAGGCGAAGCGTCTATATAATCAAATAATCACTGCTTCCCTTCCTAATTTTGAAACATTGTCGCAGTCAAATTCACCCATAGACGTAAACCTCATAAATTAAATGTAAAAAGACGTTCATAATCACCAATGAACAATAGACTATGCCTAACCTTCAAAACCGTTTCATTTCCACAGAAATAGCCTGTTCGCCCCTATCGGGCCACTCCATAAGCAGTCACAAGCTTTGATTAAGTAAGCTTAAAGTGAGGCTGGAAGAATCAACCAATAGATTTGAAGTTAACATCTGCATAAGTCAGAACTGTTTCATTGTCGCATAATCATATACCCTGTTCACCCCTTTCGGGCCACAGTTATAAGCACCCAGACGCGCTGATTATCTAAGCGAACTATTACACTGGTCAAGTCTACCTCACGGATGTGAGGGGAACTAACTCCTAATAATCCTTTGACTCCCGCTACTACACTGCTAGTGTTTGTTTTTTTCCTCGACTTTTTAACGTCCTATAATCAGATCGTGACCTCGATTATGACAGCGGCTCCTGGCCGCGAAAAGCTAGACAAAAAACAGCCAAATGTGAAATAAAAAATTAATAATTGGCGTGCTCTACCAAAGTGTTTCGGCTGTCTGGTATAACATGCCATTGTAGTGCTGACATCTGTGCTTCTTTCCTTGGTGTTCGTGTGTTCAAATCTAAAGTTAAATTTAAGGTTAGTTAGAATAAATATTTAATTAAATACTTTCCCGATTATTTTAGCGGTTGAACAAGCATACAACATGAATTCAGGATTTGTTTTCATTCACAACTCAAAGTTGCCGCCTCCAGTGCCAGTAAGATTCTTGTGACTTGTGTGAGTGTGATATCTCAAGGCCCTATCTGGTCCCATTTCACTTTGATTACCCTGTCAAACAAGTCAGCCTTCGCCCCTGTGGGTGATAGTAAATTATACCTACAGTGTATGTTGTAGTTTTCTGTTCAAGACTGGCAGATTTTCAGTGTCACTGCATCTTGCCCTACCACAGTTTTTACAACTCTCACAGTGCATGGGTCTACTTGAGCCATTCAAGTTATTGCTTTTCTCTGAGTTTGAGCAATAATTTGAGTCTGTCAGTTCATAATATGAATCATGACACCAAGACTGGTTCTTGATAGTCGAAATTTTTGTTCTAGGCCCTTCCGAACTCTCAAAGCAGGATTTATTTTTTATATATAATAATGAGAGGAAAATATTATTTAATAGACTGAAATACTTAAGTCAAACAAGACCCCAGTACGACATTGAACACTGACATGTTGTTGACTGGATACATGTATATTGTACGCGTGTGTGCTCCCTTTTTCAAGCTGGTGAGCTAGTAATTTTTTTTTGGTAAATATTGCTGGACACCCTGAACATTTTACAATTACTGGTTGGTCGGTCGGTCGTGGGGAATACACATTTTCACCTGAAAATACACATTTTCACATGAAAATACACATTTTCATATTTCCCAATACTCATTTCGGTTTTCTGTGGTTGGCATCTCTGCCACAAGCCTATAAACAGTGCTTCCACTCTTCCGTATTTTTATGGAAATCCATACTTTCTGTTAATTTCGTATTTGTTCCTCCATCATTATCAACTCCCTCCGTAAAAATCTGCGACAGCGTAGGACTACGGAAATTCCGTAACAAAAGATCCGTACTCGCCTTCCTATCGTCTTGTATAAGTTACGGATGTTTACGGTAATTCTTTCGGCAATAGTTTATGTTATAGAAACTGCCAGATTGCGCATTTCCTGCCATCGGCCATTATTCCGCTACGCCCCATGCATTCATTGCGGGTTGGTCGGCAGTACATTTTTCACCTGCAGATTGATCAAAGTCTGGCGAACTTTTTGTGCCAGTTTCCTCCTTTCTATCCTTCCCTCCTTCTGTCTGTCTATCTTCGGATTGTTGCCGCGGCTGGAAAATCTGCGCGTTGATCAATTATATTGACTTGTGATCCTAGACAGAAAATTAGATTCTACTGTCAGAAAGATACTTTTTTGCAAATGTATTTTCTAGATCTAGAGAAATTATCAGTTCGAAGATTCTACGGCATAGGAACGCGATAAGGGCTGCGATGAAAGAAATTTGTGCTAAAACTACTAAAATCAAGAATGATTCGAAGTGATGTTCCGAGGTTGTGACAAGCAACATTTTGACATGAAAATTGAGGAAAATTAGGGTATACGCTGGGTAACTGTATTGTGAAGGTACATGAATATCTATTCATTATTTCCAGGTTTGCCTTCTATCAATGGTGTGAAGACAAATTAATTGAATTATAGTAGCAATGGAAGGGGAACCTGCTTTTAAACATTGCCAGCAATGGAAAAATTGGTGAAGAAATCAAACAAGACAAAATCTTGGGAAAAAATAGGCAATATGGGTTGTTGTCAATCTCTTGAAACAGGTTCCCAAATGCCATTTTCAACCCCCTAAAAGCATTCAATTTCAATTTCCTCCCCAACCCCTACCGGGATGCTGTCCCTGGACCCTGGTGGGGGCCTCTTCGGCCCCTGCAGAATTTTCCTTACTTTCCAGCTTCGGCTGGTGGAAGTACCGTATTATAGAACTAAACAGTTCCCCATGTTCAGTTGTTTTATTATTGGATGGAGTGCAACCACACATTGGAAGGAAAACTTTCACAAATTTTCTTGGCAGCATTTTAAATTATACAAAGTATTCTTATAATCTCTTTTGACACGGCGTCCCTTTTCGCCCGATTCTGTTACTTTTAGTTCACATGACTCAGCAGCCATCCGGAGCTCCCCGGCTCGGGGTCATGGGGTTAATGAGCCTTGAAGCGACTTTGCCGGTGTCGGTTAGGAAGTTCACATTTTTGACTATGTTTAAAACAATATAACTTCTTCCCCATCCCACACAGCAAACCATTACGCGGATGTACTAAAAGCTCAAATGTCTTGAGATTTATTCTGCGTTAGAATGGTTAATTTCTGTACCTTAGTTTTTGTTCTAGACAAGTGTTTGTAGAGTACGCAATTTGTCCTATTTTAGTTACAAACTAATGAATAAATGATTGTTAATTTTAAAAAGGCACGACAGATCTCTCCAAAATCTGTGTTAAACTGACTACGAATATCATGTCTTTTACCATGAGAAATCTTAAATCTGCGCTAGTAGAAATAGTCAAGTAATGAGAAAAGAAAGATGCACATCTGCATTTTTTAACAAAAGACGATCAGCGTTAGCTCTTATTTTACTATTTATTTTACTATTAAACAAGAGAAAGCTACTCTGTGGTTGTTCATGAATCATGCTGTGTCTGTGGCAGCCTGCATACAACGAAAAAGATATAATATAGAATCTAAGCGATTTAAAAAAACACAAAACCGTGTAAATACATGGGTAGAGATAAACTTCTTGTATGGAATAAAAATAATGACAGCTAACACATTCATTCTTAGTTTTTGTTTCGGAAATATGCGCGGACACAATTGTGAATGTAAAGAAATCAGTTACATTGTCGGTTATTGCAAATGGTCATAGAAAGGAAAAATAAAGCTGGAAAAGTCTGGTGCTGATTCAGTGCCCCTGGAAAGCTAGAAATTATTCATATAACCCAATTACAAGAAGTCATCCCTATTATTCAGTCAACTTACAAAACCTAGACTTAACGTTTTAAGAAAAGTAGGGAATTTCTGGAGTGTAACAGATACTGTTCGTGTATTAGATCTACATTGAAGATGTATTCTAGCTCTAAAATAGATTTGTACTTTTCATAGAGAAACTTCATGGTAACTTTTATAAACTTTTGAGAAAATAATAATATGCGAATATTCCCGATTATATTAGACACATAAAGTTGTATTTGGAGGAATTACTTCAAAACGAATTGTGTGCCCGATGGATAAAGTTGCAAAATTATACCTTTCTATTATATGCGCAGATATAATCTTTTCTGAGTATCTGCACCAATGTCATGTCGTTCATGTTCCAAAAGTTCGACAGATTTTGACGAGGCCTTTTTTTTTATATTGATTTTTTTTCATTCACGCTAGTCAAAAAAAATTACAATTTAGCATTGCCGACTACAGCGCATCTAACGAAATAACCAGACAAGTTACAACGTCCGTTCTTTTTTGAGTCTCAAAAGCAGAAATGCATGCTTTGGGTGCACTAAATGAGAATTACCATAAATACAAGGATACACCTTAAATTGTACGTTGAAAAGTACCAGAAATTAAGTCGGCCCAGACAGAGCTGCGACAGGGAGCTGACCCCCGTGGCAACTAAAATTCCTCTGCCGATGCGCCGTGTTGAGCGCAACTGTTTCATTTGTTAAAAATGTAAAATGCTATTTTGAGCTAAATGATGTCTTTTTTGTTTACAGGTGTGAGATTATTTCCCCCTTTCAAGAAGACAAGTAAGGCACTGGGACTGCTTTCACCAGAGGAGCCATGGTATGTATTTCATTTATAATATCTCTTGCCTCTCTCTTTTAGCTCTAAAAATAATATGCTTCAGGATACATAGTATACATAAGTCAAAGATATGATTGAAAAGTCACATTCTGAGAAATGGACATTTTCTGAATGTGTAGGTCAGCATTTTATCGTGGTTTTTCTTTAAATTTCAAAGTGTCATATATATGGCTTTTTTTTTTTTTTTTTTTTTTTTTTGGTGAATTTTTAAAGACAACAATCTCTCAAAAGATAATACAGAAAAAAATGTAACAGTTTCATTTTATTCCCAGGGGCTCTCGTGGCCTAGAGGTTAAGGTGTTGGCCTCTCATTCAAAAGGTCCTGGGTTCGAATCCGGGTAGCGACCGAAAAATTTTCTTCTCTGAATTTGTCTCCTTTCACCTCATTTCCTGCCCTCTAGCAATGTTCTGTCGTCTGCTTTCGTCTCCTCTTTCTGCCCCCACCCCCTCACCTCCTTTGCCCCTTCCTCTGGGCTTCTGATTCTTTCTGCAGCCTTTCTACTGCTACTGCTACGCCTTCGCTTCTTCTTACTGCTGTCTTTCAGCCACACCCCTGATCTTCTGGTAGGAAAGATCTACACCTAGCCTTCTCGGACAAGGGCGAAAAACCTCGGAGGGCCCGTGTGCAAGTTGTGCACGTTAAAGATCCCTTGGTGGTCTAAAATCGATAAGAGTAGGCTTCGGCCGCCACCCGGGCAAAATTCAAAATTTCCTACCAACAGAAAATATTAGGTGTGTCACGCGCGCTCATATGACCTTATGCAGTTGCGAGCGCCGTAAAACACTTTACAAAAACGAACGAAAAAAAAAGTAATTTTATTCCCTGTACAACTCTTGGCCAAAGAGTTTGTTTTGTCTACTGTGAACTGTAAAGTGATGTTTTTTCTAAGTTTTGAAAGATGAAGTGCTTAAAGTGTTTTTTGAAAACCTTAGGTAGGTATTTCTTTAACTGTAGTTTGAAGAACCTACTCTGTACTATTCTGGGATTTTTTTTTTAGGTGTTGAGGCTGCTGCACAGTTTAACCAAGATAGTTTACTTGTTACTTGTAGTGGATCCTTTGGAAGATTTGTGTCCCTTTTTTGTGTGCACATTCATACTATTTCATTTCCGTTCTCATTAAGAAAACCACACATGTTTTCCAACGTTGCACTCATCCCTTTAGGGGCAGAGTAACTTATTAACTCTGTACAATTGTGTAACTATGATATTTTCTCATTGTCAAAAAACAAGAAGGATGAGGCTTGGGGGAAATTTTTTCTTTTCTGTATGTGAGAAGTATTGCATTTTTAATAAATGTTAATGTTTGGAAGCGTGCTACTTCTGGATCTATGACCTTTTATGATACGTTTGTGTTTTCTCAGTGAAACTCTCCAGGGACAGTGGTCTTTGTCTGAAATGTTGTCTAAGGAGAATACAGAGCTTGAGAACAGTCAATTCAAGTAAGAGGTTTTGAACATTTGATTATGCTAGATTCATGCTTGGAAGAGAATTGCAAGACAAAAGTTTCACTTTATGATCTTTTCCCTCGTAAGGGAGGGAAATAAACTGTCCCATCATTGATCGGGCTTACTGCTGCACCCCGAGAATAATTATTCTTGGAAAACCAGTGAGTCTCAATGAAATCTGTAAATTTGACTAAAGAAATATGAACTTTGTTGTCTACACCATGGAAGCTTGATTTGATAAGCTCAATTAGCTCCATTTTTGCTTTTGGATAAATGTGCACTTTCAAACCTTGTTACACTGCCAAGATGGAAAAAACAAAGTCGTTAGAATAAATAATGCTGCAAGAGAACAATGGAATCTGAGGTTTGATTTGGATAGTCTCAATCAAAACACTTAGTTTACATTTGCTTGGTGTCTCGCTCAAGTCCTCCAAAGACTGTTTAAAGAAGAGAAACAGTTAAGATATGCTACTTGTGCAGTATTAGTGCACTGACTTAGTGAACATTACTGACATTTATCGCTTCGATTAAATTATATGTGCAGGGTAGCTACATTTATCTGTTTTACTTCCCAGATGTGATGCTGTGAGTAACGTGACTGATCTGATGGGCAAGTGTGTGGACTTGTGGGAGGAACTGCCTTCTATTGAGCTGATTTTGAAACCCTGGCTGGCACCGCTGGGATCTCTGCCCTTAGACTTTTACCCTGCTCAGTTGAAGGTATTTTCAAGAGCTTGCTGTATTCTCTAGAGGTTTAATACTTATCGTAGGAGTTTTTTGCCTCTGCAAATCACTTTTGAAAATAATTTTGCAGGTCAAGTGTTTTTACAAGTGAACATTCCTTTCCTATTTAATTTTAAAAATTTTTTTATCATCGTACTAGTGAATGAATGAACAGGTAACCATACTATCATTTATAGCTAATAACAGAAGACAGTGTTTATTCTGCTGTTTTGTTTGGTCCAATCACCAGGAACTCAATTATGTATCCTTTTTCTATTCTCTTCAGTTTCTTTTTTTCTTTTTCTTTTTTTTTTCAATCAGATGAAGGTCAGCTCTTTGTTAGACAGGCTGAGGAATGTCAAACAGATTTTGAAGGTTATGCAACAACCATCGAAGAAACCTGTGCCCCTGAAGCTGTTTGAACCAAAAATTGAAGAATTGTAAGTTGTCTTTAGTTTCACATGTGTCACTCTACAGACACTGGCTCTGAAGTCTTTTTTTTTTTTTCTTTGTAGTGTTTCACATACAATCTCTCATGGCCATATGGAAGAAATGGTCAGTGTGTCTTCTCACCTTTTTTCCATCTGCGAACTCTTTCTTTTGCTTGGATGGGCAGTGCCATGCAGTTTATGTTGAACAGCCTGGTTGGCTCATTAATTTTTTTTCTTGTGATCAAAGTATTCATACCAGTTTTTCATTACAGTTAGCCAGCTGATTTTGTTACAAGGCTTATGTTTTGTAGCGTAGAAAAAGAGAACAGGGTACCGTCACAGTGATGGTCATTTAAAGTCGTGGCTTATGTCTCACAATGGTGCTGCTGTTGCTTGATTGAAAGATCCATTTCGAACTTTAGTTTTCAGCAATCCTAACTTCTCTTCATTGTGTTTTCTTTTTGTTAATTTTTTAAACAGCTGCATGACCATTAAGGGAAGACTCAGGTTGGCGATCCCAGAGAATATTGATAAAATTCTTCAAAATATCTTTTTTTTTGTTTTGTTTTTTTTGCGGAAAAACATTCTTCAACATCTGTTCTATCAGGTCACATTGACGAAACTGTTGACAAAACTCCCTAAATGATTTAAAAAGATGTTTGAAAAGTGCATATTGCAAGTAAAATCCTTTCATAAAATGTTTTTCTCAAAATCTGCTTTTTCACACATGTGACCTCCTTGGTGCAAGGAGATTTTAAAAATCACCGAAGCCTGAAGCTTCAAATTTGGCATACAAGTGCTTTACGGTTTACACTGTGGAACTAGGAGAGCAAATTGGGAAATATTGGTAACTTTTGGATACATTCAAATTTTTCTAACGTATACCCCAAAATTTCGTCAACCGACTGTCAGGGGTCCATTTTTATTTATTTTCAAAGATAGGTCAACAATCCACAGTCCACATGGGTTTGCATTTGAGTGCCACAATTTCTGGAAGAAATTCCAATATTTCCTATGAAATTCATCAGCACTGAGAAGCTGGTTTGAAAATCCAAGATGGATACCACAGCATCCCATTTTAAAGAAAAAAGCAACAAATTCACCCTTAATACATTCCCTATTTATCTATGAACTTCTTGCACAATTACATGAAAGTGCTTGGAAGTCATTCGTTTAGAACATTTTTCTGAGAGTTTACGTCTCCCCTTTAACTAGAGAGCTCATCTCAACAGCAACTGGGGCTCAGAAGTACCTTTTTAAGGAAATATTTCTGATTAAATTTCATATCCACTGTCTTTTGTCATTTCAGCTGGTCAGGAAAAAGAAAGAAAGGAGGGCCCAATAGGGATGTCAATGAACGACAGAGGCTGACTCACAAGGTCAAGAGGGAGATGAAGGCTGCTGTCAGGGAGATCAAAAGAGACAATGAAGTGCTGGCCAAACATCAGTTGGACACAATCATGAAAAAGTAAGAAAAGTTGCACTGTGCCCAAAAGATGGTTGATAGAAAGTCGTCCTCTTTTAAAAGTTTAAGAGAAAGAATGGCAAAAAATTGGGTTGTGTGGTGCCTATTCAATTTTCAACATACCTAATTTAGAACTCTTTGCTAGTTTTATGCCATCGTTTGCAAATTTTCTCTAGATTTACATGTTTCTTTTGTCGAGCTTCCTTGGCCTGGACCTGTAACTTTTGATAAAGTAGAAAATGGTATGTTTTTATATGTTAATGATCACTTTCTGTGAAATTTGATGCATACTTTGTGCTGAGGACTTATAAGACTAGATCTTCCCTTTCTGGTCAAATTATTGATTTTGTTTTTGTTGCTTCAAACTTAGAATGTAGAGAATTAGTTCATCTTTTGACATCTTTTTTTTTTTGGTCTTGATTTTAAGAAAAATGGTGATATTGGTTCTTTCATTTGATTGAAAGGATACGATATTGTTGACTCAGTTGCTTAGTGGTATGTTTGAAGTTGAGCTTTTGTGCTGATTCTTGCATGTCTATGTTTGCTTTTTTCAGGGATGCGGATAGAAAGAGAAAGATGAAGGAGCTGATGCACAGCCTGGCATCACAAGAAGGAGACTACAAAGCTATCAAGAAGGCCAAAAAATGAAATAGCACTGTCTTGTAGTTTGTCCTGATTTTGTGTACAAGTGCTGTTAGGGAACATGGTGGGTTTTTTTTCCTGTTAATGTTTATGGGCTCTGGTTGCTGAACTGGAGCAATAGCAAAGATTTCATAGTCATTCTTTGTTTGATTCAGTTCGCTGGGAAGGCAGGAGGTGGTTAAGAGAATGTTTTTGTTTCTTTTCATATATATAATATAATATCGCAGGGTTGCGTCACAGCAATTTTGATAAAACTTTACAGGAAGAACAAAAAACCAGATTTTTCACCACAATATTATCAGCAAAATCTGGGATTTCATTGCATGAAATGAGTAGTTTCATAAAATAATAAAACGACACCGTGGTTTTTACAGAGCATGTGCCCCTTCCCGGTGCCTGGGAATATGTATGAAAAGTGATCTTCACTTAAACCCCAAGTTACAATGCTTTATCTGCTACCCCACAATTCTTTTCTTTTCTAAATAGCTAAATGTGTGTATTTTCTAGCGATTGTTTTATTGATGAAAGTTTTCTGCCATGATCTGCATATGTGGACAATTTTTGTTATCTGCTAGTAAACAATTCATAAAGAAAATGAGATCTTGTTATGAAACATTTTTGAGGGAGGGTAACATGACCCTAGTCCACACCCCCTAAGGATGAACAGCAACAGTCATCACTATTGCAGCCATCAAATTTCAGGAAAATTATTGTCAAAGCTGTCTGACAATTTACAGGCCTTAACCCCTTTGTTACCTTATGATGCACCTGGTACGTCATGAAAATGCACAATTTTTTTGCACTGTTCCGTTCCACCATGTACGTCACGGAAATTGGCCGAATTTGCTGCTCCTGGTTGCCTGTATGACATATGTACGTCACGCTAATAACCGGGCTCTAATTCTTCTGTACAGAGTTTTAGCCACAAGACAAGCACTGTGTTGATTCATATTCAGGAATAAAAGACACGCATATTGGTACCAAGTTTGCTAAGACAGTGGGTGTCGCATTCAACGAGGTTGCCCGGACCGGCTTGTTGTACTCGTTAGATCCGACCTCTCGTTGAACGTGACTAAAGCTAAAGAAAAGAAAGGAGACAAGTTATTATATTACATGATGTACCAATACCAGTAATTAAAACAGTTGTGCCCCCAGGTGACGAAAATCTCAAGCAGCGTCAGTGTGCGCGTGTTTGAACAGTGTTCTGACCGTCATTTCTGCATTTTAAAATATTTTTTTTCCCGGAACACTTCTCGTGTGGAAACATACCCTCTCGCATCTAGGCCTAGATCTATTCTACATAAAATAAAGGCGGGAGCTTGGATTTTTTTATCAGGGCAAGAAAAGAAAATTGAAAAAAGTGAAGGTCTCGATCTAGACCTACCGACCTAGAGTTCATCCAGTTTCACACAGCCCGCATCGCGTTCCCACCCACCCCCTCCCATCCCTACCATAGGCTAACCCTCGCCCATCTTCTTGGCTTTGGGGCCAATATTATTAGGAGGCACACTAGATCTAGCAATACAATGTGTTAGGAATCGGGGATGGGCCTTGTGCTTCGCGTGAGATGGAGAGAAAGAACAATTCTTCGTTTCTGTCGCCGATAATTGCTTTTATTTGGTCATCGCGACGTCGTTGAAAGCGACTTCTGTCTGTTTGCAACCTCGTTGGAGGCGACGTACATTTACAATTTAGAGATATAGAGGAAAATCAGGGATTACGGATTGCCTCATGGGAGCCGACTTCTCGTTGAAGGTGACCTCGTTGAATGCGACTCCCACTGTATTATTTTATCGCTAGGCTCACAAGCAACCGATAAACACAGATCAAGTAAACATCAAAATGACTTTTAAAAGCTAATAAATTCACTTTTTGACTTAGATTTGCAGGTTATTCAAAATTATGAGTAGGATGGGAGGAAATTGAGAATAAGAAAAGTGACACAATCCAAGACCCGGTGTCCGTAATATGTCACGAGTGCGCTAGATATACTTGTAGACTATGGTTATTAGTTTGACGTACATGTAACGTCATATAGGCGACCAGGAGCAACAAATTTTGCCAACTTCCATGGCGTACTTGGTACACCACAGCGCTAAAAGTTTTATGAGGCAACGAAGACTTCAATGGTTAATGACCTGTGACTGTGTTAAGATGAAAGGAAGGTGTGTAAATCATGTATTTATCTTGTTTAGATCTTGTTTGTGTTGTAAGGGTCTGCGCATGTGTTTGTTTATAGAGGCGAGAGTGCCAGGATGTGTGTGTCTGTACAGAAGAGAACCTCTGTAAAGTGTGTTTGCCTCGTGTGTTCCATTTTTGTCACTTTCCTTCGCACTGACTTCACCTTGTATCTTCAGATGTGTGAATGGCTGTGATAGAAGAAATGGGCTGCTTTGGCTATCAGTAGATGCATTATAATGCATTCTCACAATTGGATTGCCATGCAGTTGAGTTGGTCCAATAAAAATTGCGAAAGCATAAGTACTCTCTCTGTGATTGATATGACTCCCCTTCTATTGAAACCTTGGGTAGAACACTTCTTTTATTAACTAATTTTATCGGAAGTTATGATTGTTGCCCTTGGCAGTCGATTTGCAGTACCTAGGTAGTCAAATTGTCATCATATAGAGGCATTGCGGTGAAATCAGGCGCTCGTCAAAATAATGGAATCGAAGAAATCGGCATTTTTCGGCCAGTTTGAACATTTTTTTTTGCATTTGTTTGTTCAGCACCTTGTATGTCCAATCAAAAACATCTTAAATATTAAATCAAAGGCAAAAAATAATATAAATTTGCTGTTTCCAAGGACTTTGGAGCTGTGGAAGTCCTCTAACTTTGATGATGGCCATTTTCTTGCTAATTTTACTTCTGAAACCAGGCGACCCCCACCTCTTTAAATGGCATATATCTCAACTTCTATTTAAGATAAATGGGTTTTTTTTCATTAAATGCATGGCAAATGAACAACCTTTAAGACGATACCAATGACTCCATGCATCAAAAAATTGACAAGTGCCTGATTCCACCGCGTCATGACTCATATGTCTTTTAACTCTGCAAATGTAAGTTTACTTGAGATCCTGGTCCTTCAATTGACCTCCGATTGCATCGAGTCTAGTACACAGTGAGCTTGGAAAACTCTTCCGAGTTCCATTACATTAACTTGGACATCTTGACACTTACTTCCAGTAAACTTCATACAAACAACATTCAACCTGGTGGATGTCTAGTTTGTAAATATGAAGTGAAGAAAATCAATCAACATGTCAACATGTTGGAGATTTATTAGGTTTTGCAAATTTCAATTGATTTATTCTGGTTTCAGGACTAGAAGTAGAAGGGTAAAACCATGACAGTCACAACAGAAGGATATCTCACCATACTGAGAAAGTTTATTTAGTGTTGAAAAGGAGGTCCAAAAATCAACTCAGAATCATGCCATAGGGTTTTTAAGAAATATTTCTAGCGCCTTGTTGAAGCTTGTTGAGAGAAATGGTCAGTACCAGGAGAATATAGTAAAATAGTGACCACCTTCCCAGTTTATTTGGCAATATCAATTTTGCATAAGTTATCTCTTCAATGTACACATGGTGACTATTTGAAACCAAACAATTTAGTTAATTTTTAAGAAGCTGCAAACTTTTGCGTTTCACTCAATTTTGGTGGAAATTGTAAACACTTAATTTTGTTAAAACACTTTTTCTTTTTGACACATGGAACGTCCCCCTGGTTGAATTTTATTTGTTCAAAGTTTTGGTGAAATTGGTCCAACGATGATCAAGTTATTTCCCTTTAAATGAGCACTTTTCTTTTATATCTTTATTTCTCAGACACCTGCACTATTGGTTTTCCAGAATATCTTCAAAGCATAAAAGATACCCTGTATAGATGTGTGTACTGAGTATGAAATGTGATGCTGCAGTCATGATCATCTTCTGTCTATCTGGAAAATAGCAAGTTCCGAGCTGGTGGAAATTTTTTCCTCTTTTTATGCTCGTTCTATTTCCCTGCTCATTTCTCTCTGCCCATACTTGGCCTCTCAGCCTTCTGAAAACTGCTTTCTACCCTGAACTTAACAGCTGGTCATCTAGAAATACTTATTTGAGAATGTTTCTGCCTTTTGCAGAAGTAAACTGAAATAAAACCCTTTTTCTTACTATCTGAGCCACCTCTCTAAACAAAGAAAATCCAGTGGCCATCGCAGATTTTGGTTTAAGCAAATTCCAGTGTATTACATGGTGTAACGGTGAAAATATACAATTTTCTGCTAAATACAGTCAAACCTGTGTAAGACGGCCACCCATTGTCAAGGAGAAAAGTGACCGTATAAGACAGGTGGCCGTCTTAAGCAGGACT